TGGCGTTCTGATATTATCCTTGCCGCCCACTACATTGGGATGTCTTGGTCGCCGATGTCCAAGGTCTTCATCACTTGGACCGCTTGTCTTTGCACAACAGCTCACAGCAGCCTCACAGCGCAGATGAGGATGCCCAGCGTGCTACAAGTACCGCGTCTGGTATCCTGTATATCATGCAATAAAGTCTTCACATGATTACAATTTTGATTATATTTAATCAGGTTCCCAGACAGGCTCACAGAGGGAGGGTATATATACTTGTCTGTTGGGACTTTGGTCTACGTCAATAGAAGCGACCATCCGGTGCAGCCATTTGTTTAAATGGTGTCCCAATCTTCCACCTGTTCACCTCTGTCTTGCGCATGTGAAGTATCAGTAGTTGATTGAAGACCTGTGGGATAAATGGGTATCGTCGATCGTTTCCTCTTCTCGTTCTTACCTTATCCAATCTCTACGTGAGTTTGATAGGTTGACGAAGCGAAAAAAAAGATGCCAATTGCAAGCTGCTCCACCTAACATCCTTGGGAGCGTATGCGTGAGGTCTGTCTTGTAGAACCTACTGGCCGGGGACGGGGTGTTTGAAACAAAACACCTCCTCCTATCCGGGATGAGGTTTAAGTCGTGACCGAGTCGGTGTCGCCTGGTTCATGGTTATGCGGTCGATCTTGGAACGACGTCCTGTGTGAAACCATGGAACACATGATTCCCCGATGTCATGATGTAAATCTCTTGGTAGCACAAAGAGGGATGTTTGAAGCAACCCTTACACGAGTTTGTCACTAATCCTTGTAAAATCCTTTGAATTTTCCTGATTTCCTGATTAGTTCCAGCTTCATCTTGTACGTTTCACGGTTGACTTCCCTACAGGCTAGGGTATCAGCGCCCCACCATCCAACCATGGGATAAATGCATAGTCTGAGATAGCATAAGTATAAACAATTGTACATTTTCTAATAAATTGTATATTTATATACCTGTCCTATCTCACACGCTAAATGCCCACCCAACCATCCCGGCATCACAGTTACCCCAGCCCGTATGCTCTTGATTGAGAATGAGGGTGCTGGATATGTCTGGTGATCAGATCGCAGGGGTCGTGCTGCACGGGATTGCAGTGGTGCATGACCCATGATCACAGTGGTGATTTTGTGCTGTGTGGGATGTGTTGGGGTGATTGGTGTTTTTTAAGCTTGAAACTTTGTTCTAGGACGTTTCCACATCAGGATCGAAGAATAGTGAGTGAGTGAGTTAATAGTTAACGTCACATCGGCAGTATTGCAGCCATATCGTGACGAGATAAAATTTGACCCCAACAATACATATGTAAACTGTATAAAATTCTGTCGACGAAGGACAGTAAAACATCTAGATTATCACAGATATATGTTTAAAACTAGTACAGAACCATAAAATATGACAATTCATAACATTACAATAGATAAAATTGGGCTATATATCACCAGCAACTAAAGTGAGGTCACCATACTAAGGACCATGGGGACTTACAGTACCTTTGCTACCTGCATGGACCCCAGCAGGATTTACACCATCCCTTTAGTCACTGGCGACCATTGACAGGGCTTAGCAAGAGATTTAAAACGAACAAATATACTACGATTAAAACACTGGCAGATATAAAATTAATTTGATTTATGTGGGCTTACATATCCTCTCAGGGGGACAATAATTTTACGCAACTTCAACCCCCTTCGAGGATACAGCCACTAACAATCTCCATTAGTTATCACATACTACCAATTTATAAAATATATATCTTTGTACATCAAAATTTATGAATTTATTCTATATCCTTTAAAAAACCGATGTCGCACTGGCCAGTAGCAAGAACATTTAATAATTCAATAATGTCAATTAAAAGTGGATGTTTACAAGACTGATTTTTAATTGCCTGAAGACAAGAAAGAGAATCTGAAAATATAATATATTGCTTATGTTTGGAATGTGTACTTATGTACTCTAATGCTGTTAATATGGCCTTGGATTCCGCCGTAAAAATGGAACAGTTATCTGGAAGTCTTGAAGATACAGTCCTGGATCCAATGATGGTGGCGCTGGCAACTGCGTCACCATCCTTAGATCCATCAGTAAAAATAGATTTATAACTATCATATTTGTCTCTTAACTGATTATACTCTTGTTGATAAATAAGTTGATTTGTTTCAGATTTCTTCAATTTAGTTAATGATAGATCCACCTCTGGCTTAACTAACTGCCACGGTGGAGACGACAAAAGACGAGTTGGGACTATATTTTCAAGTGTTATGTTAGCAGCAGAAATATCATGTTTGATTCTTATACCAAGGGGTGGAGTAAGAGATGATTTTGTATTATAGAGATCGGAATAGAGAGGATTAAAAACACAATGGAAAGCTGGATTGGAGTTGTTAGACTGTAATTTAGAAATGTACTGTAAAGACAATTTAATGCGACGTTGCTTTAGTGACGGTTCATCTGCCTCTGCATAAAGACTTTGAATCGGAGAAGTTCTAAAGGCTCCAAGGCAGAGCCTTAGGCCTTGATGATGAATTGTATCTAGTTTTTTAAATTGCTTTTACAGGCTCCACCATAGATGATGGAGCCGTAATCAAGTTTAGAGCGAATGAGGGCTCTGTACAGTTGGAGGAGGGTTTTCTGATCCCCTTCCCATTTGGAATTTGAAACTACTTTTAATAAATCAAGAGCCTTCAGGCATTTTGTCTTTAAATAGTTAATATGCGGTAGGAAGGTCAAGTGATGGTCAAAAATAATACCAAGAAACTTGGCCTCCTTGACAACTTTGATCGGAGATCCATCTAAAACTAAATCAGGGTCATTATGTGTCCTATATTTCCTACAAAAATGAATGCAGTTGGTTTTAGCTTTGGAAAACTTAAAACCATTTTCGAGAAACCATTTATGAATCTTATTTAAACATAATTGGAGTTGCCTTTCAATAGTAGGCATGTTTTTACCACGACAAGAAATGTTAAAATCATCCACAAAAAGCGATCCATCAATTGAATCAGTTAAAACTTTTGATAAACTATTGATCTTAATGCTAAATAGTGTGACAGACAAAATACTGCCTTGTGGGACACCCTGATCCTGATTATAATGATCAGACAGGGTAGAACCCACGCGGACCTGAAACTGCCTGTCGGTTAAAAACTCAGATATGAATTGAGGCAAACGGCCTCGTAATCCAAAATCGTGTAAATCTTTTAAAATAACATGTTTCCATGTAGTGTCATATGCTTTTTCTAGATCGAAAAAGATAGACACTGCATGTTGTTTATTTATTATTGCATTTTTAACAAATGATTCTAATCGAACCAAATGATCGATGGTACTTCTATTTTTCCGGAAACCACATTGTATGTTTGTTATGAGATTGTTGGTCTCTAAGTACCAAACTTATCGATTATTAATCATGCGTTCCATGGTTTTGCAAACGCAGCTTGTTAGTGATATCGGTCGATAATTTGAAGAGTCTGTATGATCTCGCCCAAGTTTGGGTATTGGGATAACTACAGCATCACGCCATGAAGGTGGAAATTTCCCAGATGTCCAAATTTGATCAAAAATAGTCAATAATGTTACTAAAGATGATTCTGGTAAGTGTTTCAGGAGTTGATAATGAATATTATCAGCTCCGGCAGCCGTATTGTGAGCTTCTTCAAGGGCTGTATGGAGTTCATGAATAGAGAAAAGTTCATTATAATCTTCCCCGTTATCTGATTTAAAATTAATAGTTTTCTTTTCTTGCTGTTTTTGATATTTTGGGAATTTAGGATCATGGTTAGTCGAGGAAGAATGTTTAGCCAAAGTTTCACCAAGCTTCTTTGCAATATCAGATTTATCAGTTAGTAGTACATCCCCATTTTGTAGATGGTTGATACTGGATTTGGAACCCTTACCTTTAATTTTCTGAATCATGTTCCAAACTTTAGACATGGGCGTACGTGAATTGATTTTGGAGACATACGTTTGCCACGACTGGCGCTTATTTTGCTTAAAAGTACGTCGTGCTTTAGCATTTAACATTTTAAATTTATACAAATTATGCACCATAGGATGGCGACGGAAATAGTTTTCAGCCTTTTTCCGTGCCTTCCTTGCTTGCTTGCAGTCAGTGTTAAACCATGGTTTACGGATGTGTGGATTTGCAGAGGACTTCGGAATACAGTCATCAGCAATTTTGTGAAGTTGAGCAGAGAAGATTTGGATAGGATCAGGAGCGTTGATAAACAAATTAGGAGTTAATTTGTTGGATGACAGTAATTCAAACAAAGGCCAGTTTGCTTTTGTGAAGTTCCATCGTGATGATGGCTGTACATCAGAAGGGTTAACCGTTTTCAGAATGGTTGGAAAGTGGTCACTTCCACAGAGGTCATCGTGGACTGACCACTCAAATTCATTCAACAGTTCAGAGTCTGTAATGGACAAATCGAGGGAGGAGTATGTACCTGCTCCGGGATGTAAATATGTTTTGGAGTTATCATTAAAAATACATAAAGCATTGTTGGAAATAAAATCTTCTATACTCTTCCCCTTAGCGCTGGTATAATCACTACCCCATAATGGATTATGTCCATTCAAATCACCCATTATGATACAAGGTTTAGGCAGTTGGTCATATAGTGCTTGGAGATCAGTTTGCTGAAGAGACGAAGATGGAGGGATATAAAGAGAACACAAAGTAAAAACAATGTGTTAAGTTATTCGAACAGCAACGGCTTGGAGAGGAGTATCAAGAGGAACAGTACTGTGGATGATACCCTGCCTCACCAACACTGAAGAATCTCCAGTGGCCTTAGCCCCAGGAGGGGAAAAGAAATGATAGGAACTATACTGGCTGATGTCGGTTTGATCGGTGTTTTTCAAGTAGGTTTCCTGAAGACAAAGAGCTGATGGTTTAAAATCTTGTAGTAAAAGTTGTAGATCATTATAATTATGTCGGAGTCCTCTGCAATTCCATTGAACGATCGGACTTGAGCAGCTCATGGCGGCTCAACTTGGGATCTTGAGCGGGAGGTACGTCCACTCTCATGGACTGGTTGTGTGGGAGTGACGTCCATCTCCAGAGGCTCAAACGGATTATGAACCTCTACAGTGGTTGTCACAGGAGAAGGCACCTCCAAGTGTTGGAGTGTTCTGGCTTTTCTCCTCATTTGCTTTTTAGCTGATTTCGATAAATGGGCTTTGCCCTGAAATGTTTCTAATTCCTTTACAGTGTCACGGTCTAGATCAGAAGGTGGAGAGTGAAAGTTTTCAGTTTGGGTAGCAGAAGTTGATATCACTGGATAGCTTTGAGATGCCTCAATGGTGTCATCTATGGTAATTTGGTCATCCTTCAGCCAAGAGATAGAAGTCTGGCATTCTATGGAGACTGTAGTTACCTTGGTACATGGAACCGGAGAAGAAGAGATTGCAGCTGAATAGCTTTTAGAAGAAGGTATTTGTGGAGGAACTGATAACTTTTTAGCTTCTGTGTATGAAATGTTATTAGTATGCTTGAGTTTCAATATTTTGTTTTCAAGAATAAAGGCAGGACATGCTTTTGATGAGGACAAGTTGCAGTTGGCACACCGGATCGCATTTGTGCAGTCTGAACTCTCATGAGTTTGTCTGCAACGGAAGCACCTTGCCTTGTTAGTGCAAGTCTTGGCACCATGACCAAATTTTTGACACTTGTAACATCGGAGTGGATTTGGAACATAGACTTCCACTCCGATGTTAAAGTAACCTGCTTTTATTGACTTTGGAAGGGTTGTGAGAGCAAAAGTGAAAAGGTAGGTTTGAGTATTGATAATATTTCCATCTTCTGCTTTTCTAGTAAACCGCTTAAGTGCGGTGACACCTTGAGGTTTTAATTCAGTTGTTATCTCTTCTCCTGTCATATCTGACAGACAGCGAGCTCGAACGATGACCCTACTAGAGTTCAGTGTCTTGTGCACTGAGACAACAACCCGTGTATTGACAAACTGCTGGAGGCCCAACAGATTGACGGATTGCTGTCTCCGTGCACATTCCACAAGGATTGATCCACCACGGAGACGTGTGACGTTCTTAACCTCCCCACAGGCACTTTGTATACCCTTGGAGATCGCAAACGGGTTAAGTTTTAAAGGACTATCATCTATGGTTGAAATGACTAAAAATCTTGGCCAAGATTCTGACATTATTGGATATTCCTCATCAGATGACGAAGAAAGGTGCCTTCTTTTATTAGCTTTCGATGAACCAGTGAGTGTGTTGGTAGCCATGATATGAGAAGATTGTTCAGCATTTCTGCTCCCCACCCGCCATCGAGTGTCAACAAGGACGATGCTGCAGTGGAAACCAGTCTGCAACATCAGGGTTACAGGAATGTGATACTCCAGAAATAAAGACGTGAATAGCTGATGTTATTAAAAGAGAAATGTTAGGCTGGTTCGGCCCATGGCATTTTCCAATAAAAACACAGAATTCAGCGGTCCGTATCACCAGATTGGCCCATGAGCCACCGCCTTCTGGCATAAGACTCTAGGCAAACGTTTACATAATAATTTGGGAAGTCAAACATGTAATACATGACCAAGACCAAATAATACATTAATATAAATCACATTTGTGCAAACACAATATTATGCACAGGGCCTGGCATGACCAGCCAATTGATAAGACCGGGCCCATCTTACCACCCGTCTAGGCGAAGTAAGGGTCGAAGTAGTGCGTTGGGCAAAGGAACACAGTTCCAGGAACCAGTGCCCTCAACTACCAGACTCTCGTCCTCCGCCGACACAGGGACGCAACCCACGGCAAACGGGCTGCCCACTTTGGTCGCCTCTTACGACCAGCAATGGGGTGCTGTGGAAATATTCTACCCCAGTTCCACACGGGGGAAGAGCTATTAGCGCTACCCAGCACTCACCACGAGGAGGTTGCTCTTCACGAGTGCCGGATCGAAGAATAAGAAGAAATGTATAGTGTGAGATATGATAAGTATATAAATATACAATTTATTAGAAAATTTACAAATTTGCTCGAATTATAAATATGTGTAATATATCATAGATAATAGATATCATTCTCAACTCCCTGGGGAGTATACAACCCAAGCTGCCCAGAGGCCCTAGAAGGTTTTTACATACACCTCACATATCGGGTCACTTGCCCACTTGTGTTTCGGGTGTATGTACGTATTCGTGTTTCCACCATCTGGTCATCTACCATCGGACGAGTGGGTTCTTTTGAGTGCACAGGGTGAATGTACTGTACACTAGGGGTAGTGACAACAGTGTAAAGACCTGTAAACATTGTTGATCCCAAGGCTGAATAACGACCCGGTCGCTAGTGAATATGAGATAGTCATGCCACAAAAGGGTCGCGTGTGTGGTATGCATGCTGGGAACAACCACATGGGTTATAAATAAAAACACATAAACCTTTGCCACCACCAACATATATGATTGGGAGATTTCTGTTTCTTTCGCGATTTTTGAAAGAGAATATAACTGAATCATTTTCATCTAATCAGTATATCAAGTTCACTTGAAACAATGTTCCTTCCATCGATAAATAACCGAAAGGTACCCCAAGGATTATATCTGGTTAATATAGAGAACTCTCGCTCTCAAAATATTGACTGCCCTCGTCAAGAAAGGGTCACTTTCAAATGCAAAAATAAGCAAATGTTTGTATTTCGACATGTACTGAAAGACACGTAAAAGTCATTTGGATAGGTTTATCCATACAACATTTTGTTTATATAGACTGTAATGCCATGATCTATTATCAATTGTTTGTTAGCTATAAGTCATTTTAGCAAGTGTGACGTTTGTAACGTTTATTTTGAAACATGTTGTTCCCGTCTTAAACCTGAATATATCCACTTATTTTTACATGAGGAAATACACGTCGCAACATGCATTGTATCACACTAACAAGGTCTGTGTAAGCATCCATAATATATCACGCTCACAGATGGCGTACTTCGATGCTCATGATGTTAATCACTGGATTGTCTGGTCCAGATACAGGGAAGGGCTGAAGGCTGAGCTGTTGCATGTTGTTACAGCTGCTATTGCGTGAAGATGTATCCACTGTGGAGGAGCTGATAGCTGAGCTGTTGTTGCATGTTGTTACAGCTGCTATTGATGAAGACGTTTCTGCTGTGAAGGTGACGGCTGAGCTGTTGCATATTGTTACAGCTGCTATTGATGACGAATTGTCCGCTGTGGAGGAGCTGGTGGCTAAGCTGTTGCATGTTGCTACAGCTGCTATTGATGAAGAATTGTCCACTGTGGAGGAGCTGAAAGCTGAACTGTTGCATGTTGCTACAGCTGCTATTGATGACGAATTGTCCGCTGTGGAGGAGCTGGTGGCTAAGCTGTTGCATGTTGCTACAGCTGCTATTGATGAAGAATTGTCCACTGTGGAGGAGCTGAAGGCTGAACTGTTGCATATTGTTACAGCTGCTATTGATGAAAAATTGTCCACTGTGGAGGAGCTGGTGGCTAAGCTGTTGCATGTTGTTACAGCTGCTATTGATGAAGAATTGTCCACTGTGGAGGAGCTGAAGGCTGAACTGTTGCATATTGTTACAGCTGCTATTGATGAAAAATTGTCCACTGTGGAGGAGCTGGTGGCTGAGCTGTTGCATGTTGTTACAGCTGCTATTGATGAAGAATTGTCCACTGTGGAGGAGCTGAAGGCTGAACTGTTGCATATTGTTACAGCTGCTATTGATGAAAAATTGTCCACTGTGGAGGAGCTGGTGGCTAAGCTGTTGCATGTTGTTACAGCTGCTATTGATGAAGAATTGTCCACTGTGGAGGAGCTGAAGGCTGAACTGTTGCATATTGTTACAGCTGCTATTGATGAAAAATTGTCCACTGTGGAGGAGCTGGTGGCTGAGCTGTTGCATGTTGTTACAGCTGCTATTGATGAAGAATTGTCCACTGTGGAGGAGCTGAAGGCTGAACTGTTGCATATTGTTACAGCTGCTATTGATGAAAAATTGTCCGCTGTGGAGGAGCTGGTGGCTAAGCTGTTTCATGTTGTTACAGCTGCTATTGATGAAGAATTGTCCACTGTGGAGGAGCTGAAGGCTGAACTGTTGCATATTGTTACAGCTGCTATTGATGAAAAATTGTCCACTGTGGAGGAGCTGGTGGCTAAGCTGCTGCATGTTGTTACAGCTGCTATTGATGAAGAATTGTCCACTGTCGAAGAGCTGAAGGCTGAACTGTTGCATATTGTTACAGCTGCTATTGATGAAAAATTGTCCACTGTGGAGGAGCTGGTGGCTAAGCTGTTGCATGTTGTTACAGCTGCTATTGATGAAGAATTGTCCACTGTGGAGGAGCTGAAGGCTGAACTGTTGCATATTGTTACAGCTGCTATTGATGAAAAATTGTCCACTGTGGAGGAGCTGGTGGCTGAGCTGTTGCATGTTGTTACAGCTGCTATTGATGAAGAATTGTCCACTGTGGAGGAGCTGAAGGCTGAACTGTTGCATATTGTTACAGCTGCTATTGATGAAAAATTGTCCACTGTGGAGGAGCTGGTGGCTAAGCTGTTGCATGTTGTTACAGCTGCTATTGATGAAGAATTGTCCACTGTGGAAGAGCTGAAGGCTGAACTGTTGCATATTGTTACAGCTGCTATTGATGAAAAATTGTCCACTGTGGAGGAGCTGGTGGCTAAGCTGTTGCATGTTGTTACAGCTGCTATTGATGAAGAATTGTCCACTGTGGAGGAGCTGAAGGCTGAACTGTTGCATATTGTTACAGCTGCTATTGATGAAAAATTGTCCACTGTGGAGGAGCTGGTGGCTGAGCTGTTGCATGTTGTTACAGCTGCTATTGATGAAGAATTGTCCACTGTGGAGGAGCTGAAGGCTGAACTGTTGCATATTGTTACATCTGCTATTGATGAAAAATTGTCCACTGTGGAGGAGCTGGTGGCTGAGCTGTTGCGTGTTGTTACAGCTGCTATTGATGAAGAATTGTCCACTATGGAGGAGCTGGTGGCTAAGCTGTTGCATGTTGTTACAGCTGCTATTGATGAAGATGTTTCTGCTGTGATGGTGACGGCTGAGCTGTTGCATGTTGTTACAGCTGCTATTGATGAAGATGTTTCTGCTGTGAAGGTGACGGCTGAGCTGTTGCATGTTGTTACAGCTGCTATTGGTGAAGATGTTTCTGCTGTGATGGTGACGGCTGAGCTGTTGCATGTTGTTACAGCTGCTATTGGTGAAGAATTGTCCACTGTAGAGGAGCTGAATGCTGAGCTGTTGCATGTTGTTACAGCTGCCGATGAAGATATATCTACTGTTGAGGAGCTGAAGGCTGGGCTGTTTGTCCCCAGTTGTAGTAAGCGTATACTGGAGCATAGTTCATGTCTCCTTTGGTATACTCGGTGTCGTCATCATCCTTTATGTTCACTGTGCCAAACGCACTCTCTGAGAAAGATGGAGGTGCTGAAACGACAAATGACGCAATTACTTTTCAGGTGGCAAAATCACACGGACTAAGGAAGAACACGCTGTAGCAAACATTAAGGCATGAATCTCTAGTTAATTTATACAAAGTAGAGGAGGGTTCAGTTGGGTTTTTTAAATATGGCGAGGTTGCAAACTACACATAAATGTAAATGACAAAACACATGATAGAGAGACTGAATGGCTTGGTGTTCCCGTAGCCTTCGTTTCTTACAATTAGCCGATATGTTTTTATTAAGGGCATCCAAGGTACACTGGGGGTACAGTGATAAGGAACTGAAAATGTCTACGGGGAAATATATATTTCTGTTTTTAAACAATGTAGCGAGTTTATTTTATTGAGTTCTGCTCACACAGTTAAAATGTATGTATATAATAGTATGTTTGAGGGCTGTGAAATGACAAACGACAGCATTCGTCTTTGACACACTTATAAAACGTTTTGTTTAGTGTATTTGCATAGGAAGTGGTTGTAGATTTGAGGAAGTATTATGATGACATGAAGACAAACGGAACTCACGCATTGATGTTACAGGTGGGGCAGAAGCCTGTGCCCCTCCCTGGTAAAGCTGGGACTGGCTGGGACCCTGCAGCGGAGGAGCAAACCCGTACTGCTGCATTGTTGTCCTCAGTGGGATTGATCCGATGATCAGCCTGAGCGGTACTTCCAACTGGAATGCGGGCCCAGCGGGACTAACACAGAACTGAAACAGAACAAACAATAGTCCATAGATCCTAGACATAAAGGTAATATGTTTAGGCCATAAAGGACAGTGAAATGTATTGCGCAAACAACAAATTTGCAAGTCCTATTGCACGTATACTAGCTACATGGATCTAAAACAGTGTCCTAAAATGGTTTATTGCCATAACAAGCAAGTAAAACTGAAGGACAAGTTATGCGGGCATGTATATGGATAACAAACAAAAATTGACATCAATGCAAGAACAGTTACCTTCACATAGTACTCAATTACAATTATTCTGCATCCGTGAAGTTTAGATGGCGGCACTGGTGGTATGGGTAGAAGGTCTCCATTCCAGGTATCTGAGTCTCCAGGAAGAATTTCTCCGTGGGATATTTCCCCTATTTTCTGGAAGACTGTTCGTGTCTTTGTTGTTGCTCGATAAAAACCAACCTAAAACACAGAACTCAGTTTCAAAACCTTCAGAGAATAACATCAATCAATGAAATACCTAGATCTTCAACGAGCAAAATATACACATCGACGTCATGGTTGAACGTAAACACGTCTAATTCTGTTCACACAATTCTTACTAACCATGTACAATTCAGCGTATGATCTCGCCATTCTCCTGTTGCTGTGGTTGATGATCTCAGCTTTGATAGGAATAGATTCCCCCGGAACATAACCACATCGGTCAATTTGAAACGTGCAGCTGATGGGCCCAGATTTGCAGCATAAGCAACACAAGTTTTTTTCATTTTGTCCCCGTGAACCTTCCTGCAAACATAAATCATCAAGTGATGCATTAAATTTTCTCTTTCGTTGAGCACATTTCCAAACGCTATGCTGTAATATCCTGCTGACACATGAACAAATAATCGTGATTTTTATACCCACAATCAAGTATCATTATCAAATAGTAGAAGCGACGAATTAAATTTAATAATTTCACGAAGTAACTTTCGCCTACCGCAGCTCCAGGTTCTGTGTTGAGGTCGAGTAGATTGACAACTGTAAAAGCCCTTTTTGTTGTGTGGTCGAACTTCCATGGTTTGTCAATGGTACCATTGAGCCAGTATCTTATCCTCCCCACCGAACCCTCAAACGAGGAGGGTAGTTCGTTTGGCAGCTGGTATCGGAAGGGGTATGTATAACTTCCACTGGATAGAGTAGGATTGTCTCCCCCTTGTCCCGACGCTGCAATATACCAACAATAAATATGTAGTGTTCTTATGTTGTACGTTCATGGTAGCAAGGAGGACAACAATGCCTGTTTCTAACTTGTAAGAGTAATCTGATAGCGATAAATATCATATTTGTCAATATAACTGTATTTCTCAGTCGAGATATGGAGGTCATTTCCAGGCTAAGGCTTTTTTATATTGTTTTTGGCTATAGATATACACTGATTTATTGTCGAAAAAATACGCATCACCGATACGTTGACTTCTCTTCTCTCAACATCTATTTGTTACATCTTCCGACATGCATTTACATGATGACATACATGACAAGGGCGGATACAGCTTTTTTGAAAAGAGGGGGGGGGTGTGTGTGTGCACAATTAAGATCTATTTATTGTCTTTGGTGGTAATCTATACAGAAATAAAGATTTTTTCGAAATAAAAAAGGGGGGTTGCAGGGGGTGCTACCCCCCCCCCCCCCCCCCCCCCTCCCCCCCCCCTTTTTTTTTTTATTTCGAAAAAAATCTTTATCCGCCCCTGCATGTAACCTTTATACCAATAAAGGTGTTGTTGTGCATAAAGGTTTCATGTCTTCATACAACAAGCCCAAGTACAAATTATTGTTAACTTTACATGCACACCTCCCAGAACTCAGTTCTTATCACTGTTGGACCATTGTTAAGTACAAATGAACAGAGATTCTCATGTCCAATTGCTGAACTTTATTCAAACAATACCTTCATATCAACCCGACACAATTTCATATTCAACTTGTGTGTGAATCGTATGATGCTTTGAGGAAAACAATCATCCCTGTCACTTATCTGTACACTGTTTTGTGAGACTGCTATCGTACGATAATGGCCATGTACATTTTTTACTGCTGCTATTAAGAAAGACACTGTTGACTCCAAATTGACCCGTGAAGATTCCGGGGTAGGATAGGTCTTCAGAACCCATGCTTGCCGTTAAAGTCGACTATGCTTGTCGTAAAAGGCGTCTAACGGGATCGGGTGGTCAGGCTCGCTGACTTGGTTGATACATGTCAATTGCGTGGATCGATGCTCATGAAGTCAATCACTGGATTGTCTGGTCCAGACTCGATTATTTACAGACCGCCGTCATATAACTGGAATATTGCTGAGTGCGGCGTTAAACAACAAACCAACCAACCAACCAAATTGACAAATATGTGTCAACAAGTGTAGTTAATTATGCATGTATATAATTTCGGAGGCCTTGAACACACAAAAAATATCCTGACCTGAACCTTGACACGCAATTTATTCATCCGATCTCGCCACTCGGCAAATGTTTTTACCATGCACATGCATGTCCTTATGTATTTGACATACGTTTGCCAGTGTCTGATTCCATGATAGGAAACACACTGTATACAATAAGTGACGTGGCATTTATACCTTTCCCAAATAACACCAGTTCATGGTTGAAGTACGTCTCGTGAGCTGAGTAGTACCTCGTGACAGTCCGCCTGTTCTTCCCCGATCCCGTGCTATGCCTTTCCGACCATCTCACAATAGCGCCACCGTAGAATTGTAGCCTAATGCCTGAAAAGAAGGACAAATTTTCTTATCTTGTATCAATAGGTCCCCGTGAACCTTACCATATTCGACGTAATAAGAGCCCAGTTTGCTCTCAAAAATAGAAATAGGAGGCTCTTATTAGAATATTAGAGTTGAAAGATCGTAAATTTCGTGGTTTATGCTGACAGCCTGAAATGTTTATATACGACAGATATATTTTTCCAGAATTTAATTCTCCACAATTAAGGGTCCATATAACACACGAGTGCGTATTATACACGAATAAATAAGTCTTGTGTGCATTGATCAATCGGAAGGCGTGCTAATTGGGATTGTTCACTTGCCAATACATTTGCAAATATCGCCGTGGGCGCTTATTACGTCGAATACGGTATTTGATTTACTACTACATGTTTGAGTTGACCTCTACACTCAACAGTTGAACGTGTAGGAGCACGTTGAAATACACTATTCAGTAGGCCGCCTTAACACAACCATATGTAAATAATAATTCGACTGGAACCGTATTAAGTAATACAAAGTCCAACCAGACCGATCGAAGTCCTCACGAGATATATTTGAAAACTTAAACAATTGAATTCTTATCTTACGATCTTTTCTGTCGTGTTGGTGTCACATTAACAGTCAAACTACTTTTGATGTGTGAAACATTACGATTTACCTGTAAACTATTTCCCACTAGTAACAGCGTTATGGTGAGAGATATTCATGCATTGTATATGCAAACATGAGCACGTGAACGGTGGTTCGAACGCACTCTTTATAGACTCTTTGATGACTATGTAAGCACGATTAGGTTCTGACTCATATCTCCCCTTATTGAGTAGTGAGCAGAAAATTGTCCTTGCTCACGTCAGGCTGCATGCCTCATGAGCATGACGTAGTGTTGATCATATCTGAATTCAGAACGTGAACGGGTAACTTTAATTGTATTGTGATGTTTAACTACACTTTAAAATACCCCTTCGACTATTGGTAGTTGTTGGTTTTTAAAAAGCCATCGTAACCACGACAACGAAACTTTGCATACAATTTTTATACAATCTCTTTTTCCTCATACGATACACCTGATGAGGAAAATGCATATATGGTCTGATGATTTGTACATCCTGTATAAAATCAAAGTAAAAAGAATGAACGCATGCGATAGTGTTTGAATCGTTGATCCATTTATATATGACAACCTTCCCATTGAACAGATGTAAGTACGAGAATCTATACTTTACTAAGAAAGTGTTATCCCAAATATAGCATCTGTTACATTTGACCACTTTCTAAATGGCATTGTGTATTCTTCCCATTTAACTCTGATCAAGTATTTCCCTTAAGATAATCACGAAAACTGATAAATCTGGGGATTTAGTTTCCCAAAGTATATGATTACACAAAACAATTCACTTGACAGGCAAGGTATATCCGCATACGGACAATGGCATGTAATTGATGAGTGCATCTGCAGTACGATGTTGAGGCACTGGAAGAAGTATGACGTATACAGTATTAGATTGATTTGAGGCAATTGGAAGTTGTTATATCCCTTAGGCTTTCAGCTGAATTCGCCCCTTCCCTACACACGTGAAACGCACGCACACATACACACACACACGCGCGCGCGCGCGCGCAAATGCACATTCCAATTCACTTTTATACTGCCTTCTATAGGATCTAGCATTTGATATTCTGTGACATGGGGCTTCTTGATATACTTTTAAAATAACTTGTTCCAGAAAACATTGAAAAATGAACCATGTGTTTAGGTTTAACCCTCACCCCTCATGTCCCTGCAAGTTCTGACAAAAATGTGAAAACCTCCCAAAACTCCTACATCCCATTTCCCCTACAGCTTAAGACAACAAAGTTCACGGTCCATGGCACTGCCAATCCCTAGTCTGTTACCTATTTCATACAATGGAACAACCCAAGAAACACGAATAGATGGAGATAAATATTTAATTATGATTACGATATCATTCAAAATTCATAATACATTATAATAAAATGTTCATTTTTCAAAATTCATAATACATTATTACAAAATGTTCATTTTTCAAAATTCATAATACATTATAATCAATTTCATCTCAAATGTTCAATTCACTCTTTATCCCAGCCTGTCAGTCTCTCGACGTTCTTAGTGTGAAGATAACCATCAAATAGGACTTGGGGCTTTCCTCTCTGTGACATAACAAACTCACCATTGCGAAGACCAACCATGTTGATGTCATGTTATTGTTGTTGTTGTTGCATTAGGTGTTTAAGAGGTCGCCTTCTGCCTAGGCAATTTCGGCTGACCTGTCCCTCTTTGGGACTCCTGTGTGTGAGAAGGGTTCACATATCTATTGTGAGTTCGGTGTTCACATAATTTCTGTTTTTGCATTGATATGATTTCTATTTTCATATATTGATATGATTTCATTTTTATCCTTGGCTGCTCTGTTTATATACGTTCGAGCAGCTATCCATCTCTCAGAAATAGTTAGTTTGACCTTCGCTATTGCATCTCTTGGCTTTAGGAGATTTATTACAGATAGCGGATCTAACTGCAATTCTTGTTTTAACCTAGCCCGGGCTGGGGCATGGTCTTGACATTCAAGTAACACATGGTTAATGGTTTCAGCCTGATTGCAAGATGAACAAACCTTGTCATAGTGCTTTTTGTGGCCGAGTCTGAGGCGTGAGATAGCAATTTCAATTTTCCTTTCATTTGAGTATGAGTTTGGCTTTTGTTGGACCTTGGGTTGAATTTTGTATAGCCATCTGCCGATCTTACTTGCGTCCCATTGGGCTTGCCATCTTTTTGCTATGGAGGCTTTGATTTTGCTTTTTATCTCTAGTTTACTAAAAGGAATAGGCTGTATATCCGCTTTGTCTAGAGCTAGCTTCGCCAGTGAGTCTGCTTTTTCATTTCCATGAATATCTATGTGAGAGGGGATCCAACACAGCTCCACCTGTTGCCCTTGGTCTGATAGTTTTGTATATTCGTATAGAATATTGTTGACTGTGTTTGGCCTGGAGTTTGAGTTTCTCCCACTGATGGCCTGAAGTGCACTTAGCGAGTCTGATAGGACGACTGCCTTTGCTTCCTGGAGTTCCGGTATGAGTTTGAGTGCATGATGAATTGCCTCCAATTCAGCCGTGAATACTGACTGACCATCAGGCAAGCGAACTGAATGAGCTTGGGGTTTGGAGCTGTGGATATGGATCCCGTAACCAGCACTGTTGTTGATAGGATTCTTGGATCCATCAGTGTATATATGGGCCCAGCTGTCCCAGGTAGTTTGAATTTCAGTGATAGCTACTGATCGTAGTAGGGTTGGGTTTTCTTTTTTAGCGACTTCTGATGTTAAAGCAGTGTCAACTTTGGGAGTTTGTAACGTCCAGGGAGGGTGTAACCCTTTGTATTGACTTTCTGGAGGCTGAATGTCATCACAATTGTGACTTCGAATGAGTTCACGTACTAATATCCCAGATGGCTTTAGTGAGCTAGGGCTTCACCTCGAGTGTTTTTGTCTTGCCATATCTTTTAACCAAAGTCAGTCATGTTAGTCTACTTACTTACTTACTTTGGAGATTTAACGTGCGCTTTCCGACTGATGCGTATTTCGCACACGGGCCCGGCCAGGCCATTTAATGTGTTTCCGAAAGGGGCGAAAGTGGTCTGTGCAACCCAAGAGGGGGGTTTTAGGGGTTGCTTTTATAGAATTTGGGAAATTTGAGATCTGGAATAGATGCCGATGGGATTGGGGAGGAGAACTGAGGGAGCTGGGTATGGTGGATGTTTGTTTGTTTATGTGATTTTGATTTGGTAGGTTATTGTGTTTTTAGATGCGTTTTATTAGTTCCGTTTTTATTAAGAATACGCCTAAGGCCTTGAAGTTTTCTAGTTTATTTTGTGGGTTTAGTATTGCTTCTAGAGTTAGAGCCTTGTTTAGATTGAGGGTGGTTTGTAATGCGGTTCGATGTGTTAGGTAGTGTGTGCAGTGGATGAGTTCGTGTTCTGGGGTTTCTGGTTGTTTGCAGTGTGGGCAGTTACCTGTAGTGTGTTTTTTAAAAAAAATTAGGTGGTTATTTAGGTTGGTGTGTCCTGTTTGGAGTTTAGTGATTACTCTGTCGATTTTTTGGGATGGATGGAGAACTTTTGGTTTGGTTAGTGGTTTGCTGAGCACTTTTTTGATTTGGCTATTTGAGTTTAGATATAGGTTATGCCATTTTTTTGTGATTTTTTGCTTGTTTACACTTTTAATTTTGAGATGGGTAAGTTTAAGCTTATTTCTGGGATTTTGAGGGTTAGTTTAGCTGCTTTATCAGCGTTTTCATTACCGTATATTCCTACGTGGGCGGGTATCCACAAGAAGGTTATTTGTTTGCCTGCCTTAGTTAGGTCGTTGGAGCTTTTAAGTATTTGATTTATTAATTTAGGTCGGTTTTTGGTATTTTTGTTTTGGAGGGCTTGCAGTCCACTTAGGGAGTCGGTAAGTATTAGGATTTTTTTGTGTTTTTTGGATTCTTGATTATGGAGGGCTGAGCCCATGCCCATTAGTTCTGCCGTGAATATAGATTGGTTGTTTGGGAGTCGGAAGGATTGTGTGGTTTTAGTTGGTTGTGTGGTATGGACTCCGAAACCTGTGGTAGTTTTAGCTATGTTTGGGTCGGTTTGTTTATTTATTTGGCTAGCTAGTGTTGTGTCTATTTTGGGTATTTTAAGTTTAGGGGTGAAGATATTTGATTGTTTGCAGTTTTGTTTAAGATTTTTAATTTGGTGTTCATTTAGGTAGTTTGTTATTCTTTGGGATATTGGGGTAAGTAAGGGGTGTTTACGAGCTAGAGCTTGTTTTTTGGGGCTGATGTTTTGGTTTATTAAGTTTTGGATGAGAGGGTTTGATTGGGACGCGGCCCAGAAATTTAAGCTTAGCTGTTCCCTGCGTAGACTTAGTGGCATTTCTCCTGTTAAGGCCTGAAGTGAGGTGTAGGAGGTGCCATGTTGGGTGCGTGTAATTAGTTTGAGAGCCTGATATTGTATTGAGTCAAGTTTTTTAGATAGAGAGTTGTTTAGGGTGTTGTATATGGCGCAGCCGTAGTCTAGTTTTGATCTAATTAGTGATATGTAGAGAGAGAGGAGGGTATCTTTGGATGCTCCCCAGTTAGAGCCAGTTAGGCATCTTAGGGTGTTTAGGTCTTTACTGCATTTAGTTGTTAGGTTTTGGATGTGAGCATCCCAGGTGAGATGTTCATCGAAAATAAGTCCTAAGAATTTGGTTTGTTTTTGAAATTTGATTGTTTGATTGTTTAGCTGGAGGATTGGGGAGGCGGGTTTCATGTTTTTATGTTTGAATACTATTCCTGTTGTTTTTTCTGAGTTAAGGGAGAAGCCCCATTTGTCAGCCCATTGTTGTATTTTATTAAGAGATTTTTGGAGTAAATTTTGGACCATGTTCATGCTTTTAGTGCGGATCCAGATGGCTCCATCATCCGCGAATTTTGATGTGTTTACTTTAGGAGATAGGCCCTCGAATAGATCGTTTATCATTATATTGAAGAGGGTGGGGCTGAGGATACTGCCCTGTGGAGTACCATTTTCTAGGGGACATTGGTCCGATAGAGTTTGGTCTATACCCACGGTTATTTTACGATTGTTTAGGAAGTCCTGGATGTAGTTTATTATCTGACCTTTGAGTCCTATTTTTTTAAGTTTTTGTATTAGCCCATCGTGCCATACCATGTCGAAAGCTTTAGAGAAGTCTAAGAAGATGCCTGTGGTATATTGTTTATTTAGTTGTCCTGTCTTAATATCTTGTTCTAGTCATGTTAGTCAGTTTCAAGTATCTATATACTAAACCTAGCTATCTCTACTGTAAATCATCTCATCTCAGTTTCTCAGTGTAATAATTGTTTCTTCCTATTGTTTTTTTTGTTATTTCTAAAAATTGTCTTCTCATCATACAGGCATCTTTCATTACACTTACATTAATTCTTCTTTTTTTTTAAACTTTCCTTTAAGTCCCCTAATCCCCTAAAGCTCTACCCCTGTCATTTCTACTACCTCTACTCCAGACCTTAATCTCTTCTTTAGGTGAGTTCATAATGCCAGACAGGTAAATGCCGCGTGTTGTTTTAACTAATTGTAGGGGAACTGGGTTGTAGGGGAAATGGGATGTAGGGGTTTGGGGAGATAACTGATAACCGCTAATAAATAGCCAGTCT